TTACAGATCTGGTTTTACTGATAAGATGCGCGTTAAATATCGCATGCGATTAATCGTGCAGCCCTAATATTGACACTGGTGACAAAAATTAATACATTTCTATGGTATCAAAAATTGATATCATAAGACCTTATTTAAAGGGGTCATATGATGTTGCTAAAAAGAACATTATTTTGTGTATTTGGTGTTATGAAATGTGTTAATGCGGTTTAAAGTAAAAAAAAACATTATTTTCCACATACTGTACATTATTGTTTCTCCTCTATGCCCCGCCTTTTTTTCAAAATCCAAAATATTGCCAAACAGGCGCTTTTGCATCTCGTTTCGAAACTAAATCATCTGCCATCGTCTTGTCTGTCTCACCTCACTCTTCTTGTCAGTCAGCTCGACTCACTGTCCTCACTGGATAAATTAAATCTGATCTGTGTGATGCGACTGTCGTTTGGCACGCTACATTGAGTAGCCGCGTTCAGTTTTTAATTGTAGTGTCTGTTCTTTTACTGAACTAAATTATTTTTATTACTATAAAAAATCAAAACGACGGTGGGGATCAGAGACGTGGTGGGCAAGTGACGTAACCGGTGTTGCGGCTTAACACCGGTATCACTGTCAACACCGTCTATCGTGGCAAGCCTAGCGTGGATGAGTCTTAGCTTTTATAAAGAATATCTCTTTTGGTTTGAGAATTTAGTCTTTGTAACTTTAGGGATCTTATCTATTCACGAATAGCTTGTAACACTCCAAAGAGAAAGGAAAACTTGAAATCGCATCATATGACCCCTTTAAAGCAAAAATAACTATATCGTGATATATATATCATTACCGTGAAATAAAATTACTCGTATTGTGATATAAGATTTTGGTCATATTAGGGGTGTGCGTTATATATCGTCTGCGATAATATCGTAATTGTTGTTTTAACGATGTGCATTTTGCTGCCACCTGCTGGCGGTTTTAATTTCAAATTTCGGCTTTCTTTCTTTTCTTTTTTTTTTCCATTTTTTTTTTCCATGTATTAAATCATTTCAAATATCAGTATTCAACGTTTTAGGTTTAATATATCAAAACATTATTTATGCATTTGTAATTGCAGGTTAAATGCATTCATGTCTTGCATTAAACAAAAGGCTTTATAAAGGTTAAAATGCAAAAATCAGTTTAAACTTATTGGAAAAGATTAATTTCTATCAGTATGAACTGACCACCACACAGAATATGAAGAATATTAAAAACATTAGGAGTCAGCTGTCTTCGGCAGTCCTTAAGGTACCAGCACAATAACACACTCAGCAAAATATCGTCTAATTATCGTTATCGATAAAATCCCATAAAATATCGAGATATAATTTTTTGTCGATATCGCACACCCCTAAGTCATATCGCCCACACCTAACACCAGTCACTGAAAAAAATAATAGATGTGCATCTTAATGTGTTGCATCAATACAGCATATCGCCTGTTGTGTACTATAAAGCTGTGTAATTTACTATAAACTAACTTTATATAATCAAAGCGTGTAGAAAAGTAGTTGAGTTGGATGTCGCTATTGCAAAGCATTGTGATATAATAATGATAACTGTTGCAGTAAGAAAGGAGCCAGATTGCATTTCAACAACTTTGATTATACTGTTATATTTGAACAGCTATTTATTAATGTGTGTGTGTTTTTGTATGCTTCCTAAAATCACTAAAAATGATAATTAGTGCTCAAGACGAGGCATTGTAGCATTTTTGAATGTTTGATAATGCCTGCGTGTTATGGCTGCTTAACATCAAGCTGCTTAGTCTGCATGCTCACAGAATCAGATAGCAGAAATTTAGCCTGATGGTTACAGAGAGA